AATTATATTTTCTTCCATGGCAACGAAACGTAAACGTTTCCACGCCAGGTAAGCAGCCAGTTAGCTAGCGATGGCACCCCAATTACTTAACTTTGAATTTCGGATTATTTATATTTACTTTAATAACTGATAATAGGCGGAGGGTATCTTATAGATCCGAAAAGTGTGCCCCAGCAAAACTTGAAGTGGACTTCAAGATACGCCAAACGCCCGAATATATATCAATTTAATGGCAACCCAAATATATAGTTAACTTTATATTCTGGATCATTTATATTTACTATAATATTCTAAATGCTAGCTATAAATGAAAAGATGTATCTTTGGTATCTTGTGTATCTTTTATCTTATAGATCCAAAAAGTGTGCCCTATCAGAACTTGAAGCCAAAGAGGTCAGAATATATATGAACATTTGATGGCACCCCATATTAATATTTTGGATTATATATATTAACTTAAGTATTCTAAATTCTAGCTATAAATGACTAGATGTAGTATCTTGTATCTTATAGATCCAAAAAGTGTGCCCCATCAAAAGTGGACTTCAAGATACGCCTAAGGCCAGAATATATGAACATTTGATGGCACCCCAAGTATAGTTAACTTTATATTTTGAATTATTTATATTTACTAAGGTATTCCAAATTCTAGCCATAAATGACAATATGCAGTATCTTCTGTCTTATAGATCCAAAAAGTGTACTTGGAGTAGACGCCAAAGGCCATTTGATTTGATATTCATTGAGTTAATGTTGAAGCGAGACCAGTTCTCTGTTTAAGAGCTCCCCGCTCGGCCGCTCGACTTCCATGCGATAGTGCCCGGTGCTAATCGGAATTCGCCAAAACCCACATGTTTAGATATGTTTATATGTTAGGCGATATATAAACACACACGAATATATGTGTATATGTACTTTTTAGCGCTCGCTGGGATTTCTTTTTGTGTGACATGTTTCTCGTGACTTTGGCATTTCGAGATTCTGCGTGTTAACACACATCTGAATCATGAATTAGTGCAAATATTTTGAACAACAATTAAATCATTCACATATCAGCATGAGGCCTGTCTCATCTGTATTTATGGTAACTATTTAATTGTGCACACATCATAATTTCATTATCTTGATCAAATTTAGACGACGTCACGATTAATTTCCCCAATGCAATTTTCCAGTAGTCATGGCTTGACTAAACCAGATGACACTTCCCCCTCTCTCTCTCTCTCTCTCTCTGATAAGATAACAAGGTAAACGCATGATATAAGCCTTCATTTTTGTTGGGCACGTAACTTTTATTTAGCTTCAAGATAAGAACTTGGCTGTCTGTCTGAAAGCGTCGCCCGTCTGGCCATAACATATTTCTAATGTAATTCAACTCCAGACTTATATAAATGATATGAATTTCTTTCAGCGAATTTCGCCAAGTGGCGACATTTATATAAATATATTTATATAAACTGCAGAGTGTGGCATTAAATGGGCATTGTAAAAATCAATAATTATGTGATGCAAAAATGTTTGTGGCCCAAACAAACCAAGTTTGCAGAGGCAACCCCCAAAAAACACATGATATCAGCTGGATGGTTGGGTGTCCCGATTAATCCACCATTGTCGTGGTTGGGTGTCCTGATTAACTCACCTCAGATGCGATTTTCTGCTGCACCTCGTAGCCGGAATGCCTAAACTTGGCGCGTTTCAGCAGCTCCTGCTCACTGTACACATCGACGTCGATCTTGCTGCGCTTGCCATTGGCATCGGCCAGGTCGAGAGATGTTGCCGTTGCCTTCGAGCGTCGCACCAGCACCTGGCCATTAATCAGTGCAGCGGAAAACTCACGGCCCTTGGCCGTGTGGCCGGTAAGCAAACGCAAATTCAAATTCGCAAGCGTTGGTACACCTTTAAACATTATCACAGAAACGTGCTGCTCACTAATGACTTTTGGCTAAGCTTTCTCAAATAGTCGTGTATAAATGTATCTATTTGGTTAAGTCTCTGCACATGCGTTCTCTTCGACGGCGCACAAGGTACTGACCGAATGCCGCCGTCCTAAGCACATAATCAGCTCAGCAAGCCGGCAGCGAAAGCGACGACAACGGCGACGGCGACGGCGACGTCAAGAGTTTTTTTTAGACTTCTTTCGGCAATGCGTGGCAATGTTTGGCTTGTGAGTAACCGTTGCGGCAACGAATACGCAACTGTTCCAAGAGAGCGAGAGCAAACGGCAACGTATGCGTAACTGTTTCAACAGAGCGAGAGAGAATTGGGAGAGACACGGCGAGGGAAGCTGTTGTTAACCGCGTGGGCGGCACGCTCTCAGCTGACGCTGCCGGGGGGCTCGTCCAGCCCCGAATGACGTCACTTCTCGTCTAAATATATAAAACTATGCGGCCTGCCTGATTGACTGAATGGACGATTGAATGATTGACTGTTTCGTGTTCAACACACTTCCGAAAATGTTATTTTTTTAAGGTGAGTTTCTTTGTGCTGAAAATCCATGATTCCTAGATGACCAATATATCGTTGGTTTAACCATACCAAAGATATCGTCCTGGTGAACCTATATGATCGAAATATGAATGCCTTTTCTTTCAGCCGCCCCCCAGCAACAGCCCCATCCCCCTCGATGGTACCTAGTTGACCCATATGTCCTTGGTCATACCATACCATTGATATAGTCCTGGTGAACCTAGAGGACCAAATCCCTGCAAAATGCGCACGGAAACGGTCCAGAAATATGCATGATTTTTCCTTTCAGTACCCCTTTTACGTATCTGTAGCTTAACAGAATGTTGTGGCTGCTGCTAAAAGCGACAGATAAAGTATGCCATTCAAATTTGAGTTTAGTAGTTAATTAGAACATTTTCGCCCCTTAGGGTATGCAATGCAATTTTTTATTCACAAAAATTTTAGTTCGTCTACCTGCTGGGCATTTCTGTTCGCCTGGTACTTCAGCCGAATATTCGTGAAATCTTATGCCCCTCTTAGCAGCAGCTGTTAACAGTGGTATGTTAAGTAACAGCTGCTTAGCAGTGAACTGCTCAGTAACAGCTGCTTAACAGCGAACTGTTAAATAACAGCTGCTGCCATAAAAATCACAATTCACAATATACGCTACAGCAAAATTTATTAAATATTAAAATGGAAATAACTCGGCTAAATACAGTCCGATTTCGAAATGATATGCCTCTTTCTACTCGTACGGATGCCGACCATCGATTGCCACCCAAAAATCCATATTCCAAGAGATCACCCAAAATGACCAAAAATACAGTTTGTTTTGCATATATGAAGTTCCTAGTTTAAACTGGCCTTGATCACGAGTCGAACGTGACCAATCTTTTCAAGATCGGACTTTATTTAGCCAAGATACGGCCATTTAAAAAAAGCGAAAATATGCCGTTATAATTTTGAAGATTTTTCGTTTTTTTGCGATAATTCGGCTAATAATGGTCCGATTTTGGAAAGTTAGGCCTTTTTGAACTCGTACTGGTCTCTGCTATCGACTGGCATATAACGTTTTTTTCGAAAAATTACTTTTTTCTGAAATCGAAAAAGGTGCATAGCATTCGATTCTATGGCCATCCACAAGTAACCCCTCCCAATCTGCCCTCTATCGGGCTTTATTTGGCCGAGATATGACCATTTAAAGTTTTCGAAAAAATATCTTCACACGTCCGCGCTGGAGATATGACGTTTCAAAACGACATAATTTCGCCATGATCAACCATCACGTTTTTTCGAAAAATGACTTTTTTCTGAAATCGAAAAAGGTGGATGGCATTCGATTCTATGGCCATCCACGAGTAACCCCTCCCAATCTGCCCTCTATCGGGCTTTTTTTGACCGAGATATGACCATTTAAAGTTTTCCAAAAAAATCCGTGTGGTTGTGTGACATAGAAGTCACGCAAAGCATTGCATACTTTCGAGCTGTTCACATAAAAAAAAAGCAGAACTACATAATCTCGCCATGATCAGCGGCGAGTTATGTCGTTTTGAAGCGACATATCTCCAACGCTCTTAAAAAATCTTGGAGATATGACGTTTCAACGCGACATAACTTCGCCGTCGATCTTGGCGGATTCTACGGACCTCCGCGACTAGCCCCTCCCTTTTTGGCCCCAATCGGGCTTCATTTGGCCAAGATATAGACATTTAAAGTTTTCCAAAAAAATTCGTGTTGTGGACACAGAAGTTAAACAAAGCATTGCATACTTTCGAGCTGTTCATTTAAAACGCTTGAGTCGATTAGAGTAGCTCTTCTACTGCATACTTTTGGGCCGCCCATAAGAATAACCATTCACAATAAACACATTGCAGCAAAATTTTATTAAATATTAAAATGGAAATAACTCGGCTAAATATAGTCTGATTTCGAAATGATATGCCTCTTTCTACTCGTACGGATGCCGACCATCGATTGCAACCAAAAAATGACCATTTAAAGTTTTCGAAAAAATATCTTCACACGTCCGCGCTGGAGATATGACGTTTCAAAACGACATAATTTCGCCATGATCAACCATCACGTCTTTTCCGAAAAAATGACTTTTTTCTGAGATCGAAAAACGATGATGGCATTCGATCCTATGGACCTTCGCGAGTAACCCCTCCCAATCTGCCCTCTATCGGGCTTTATTTGGCCGAGATATGACCATTTTAAGTTTTCCAAAAAAATTCGTGTGGTTGTGCACAAAGAACTAAAGCAACGCATTGCATACTTTCGGGCTGTCCGTATAATGCGCTTGATCGTTTTAGAGTAGCTCTTCTATTGCATACTTTTGGGCCGCCCATAATAATAACCATTCGCAATATACTCATTTGATTAAATATTAAAATGACAATAACTCAGTCCGATTTCAGACTGATGATAAAAAATCAGAAGAGTGTGATGCCAATTTACTCTATGGCCCTACACTAGTCTATCCCAATCTGCCCAATACCGAGTATTATTTGGCCGATATATATCCAATGAAAAGTGTAACCTTCACGTTTTTTCGGCAATTTTTATTTAAAATATCTCAGCTAAATACAGTCCGATTTCGGAGTGATATACATAGTGCTTAGATTAAAATACAACTTTGTTACATAAATTCAAATGTTATGGCTAAAATAAGCTACTCGCTCTGAGGTATAACGCCAAAGAGCGCAGACATAAGCTGCAGATAATCCTCCTCAACCAGCTGCACCTGTGACAGCTCACAGTATCCCGGCTCCGTCGGCGGCGGCAAGTACTGCACCTCAATGGCCAAAGGCTCTGCCGTATACAAACGCTTTCTGCTGTCCGTGTGTGCGGCGCGTGGTGTTTCCGTAAGATCTGTTGAGCCTGGTTGAGCCGGCGTTGATGCCGCCATGTGATGGGCACCAGTTGGATTCGACGCACCAATAGGACTCAGCATGCGCGTCATCTCCAAATTACTGGCCTGATGCTGATGCTGCTGCAAATGCAGACGCCGCACCACATTTACGCGTAGCTCGTTCGTGGTGCTGCTTGTGCGCCGTGCCAGATCCGTGTTGCCGCGCTGGCTGCTCGTAGTGGCACTCGATGAGCGCGCCGCATCCGGATGCTTGAACTTTAGCAATCCGTGCTTGCGCCGCACCCACTGACAGCGCGAGTCCCGATAGTCCACAATAACCTTGCGCCGCACAAACTCATGGAAGCTGAGCAACTCGCTGCTGATGTCTCGTCGCACGATTTGTTTCCAGCGCGGCTCCAGGTCCGGCGAACGTATCACGTAAATGCTTTGCGAGGCTACCAGCATTAGCAGATGCTCCAGCGCGACCAGGCACAGCTGGCCGTCCAGATTGGACAGCAGCTCGCTGGAGGGGCAGCTGGCCGTGGACACAGAATGTGTAAAGCTGCGCTGGCTGCGACTCGTATCGCCGGAAGCCACGTTGTCCGCCACCTCGCCAAGCTCTACGGTGGGCAGCACATTGAGCGGAACCTCATGAAAGCCATGGTTTTGCTGTGGAAAGAAACGTATAATTAAAATCGAAGCCAAGCTGGATATCAGATATGATCACTACCAATCCTCTCTGCTGACTTACCATATTAAGCGCCTTGACATAGATGGTGACCATGTTTAGAACCATGCCAAAGGTCAGAGTTATGCTGCTCTCATTCAGCTTGGGCGCACCAAACTTAACATCCAGGATGGGCTGCCATTTGTGTGGCTCGTAGTAGCTGCAGCACAAGATGTCCAATAGATCGGGACTGAACTTTTGCATGGCCTTGACACAGTAGATGATGATGTCCGTCAGGCTGAAGAAGTAAGAAGAAGCAGCTTATAGCATTTAACTGTGAGGGGGGGTAAATCCAAGAACTTACTCGTTGCAGGCGTTGATTATGTCATCGTCAATAGCTATCGACTCCATGTTGCGCAGTATTTCCAGCTGGGAGCGTCGTCCGGCGAGCAGACACTTCAAATTGCGCTGCTGATGGAACATGGACGTAGCATGGCACATCAGGCCCTGGACAGCGTTCTGTATAGATTGGGAATGAGCCAGAAAATTAGTTTTATGTACATTTGTTCTGTGTGTTCTACTTGCCATAATGTTGAACAGTGAGGAACAGTGCTCCTGCGCCCACTCCTTGTGATGCTCGGTCAAGCTGGCCACTAGCGAGATGGCCGACTTGATGAGCTGCATGGCTGCCGGCTCTAGGGATTGCTTGCCCAACAGCAGCGAGTCGACTAGGTAAACCTCATGTATGCCCACGAATTGGATGGCCTCTTGCAAGAAGCACTTCTTGTGCTTGTCATAGATAATGTTGACCAGCTCGATGCCGCGGGCATAGATGGGCCACCACTGTTCCATGGTCCAGACATCGCTGGTGGGTTTGTTAAACTCGTATTTAGACTGCAGCAGCTCACGTGGCGGCAGCAGCTTGAGCCACAGATGCTCGCCCACGTCGCAGTGCAGAAACTCGCTGGAACAGTTGCTCTTGGCGAACACAATCAGTACGTCGAGCAGCTGGACGCTGAGTAGCTGTTTGCTGTGCATGGGCAGGGTGTAGGAGACGCAGTGCAGCAGACGCTGGAACAGGCGCACCGAGACAAACGGCAGATCCCAGTTGCCGGGTCCATCGGTGTTGAAAATGGTGGCTGCCGCCTTCAGCAGATTGAGGCACAAGACCAGCGAATTCGTGGATACCATGCCATTGGAATCCTCGGAAATTGGCTGCACTGGCGCCAGCTGATTCACATTCACCGATTTCTCCATATTCTGCAGCTCCGAGCAGATGATGCTGACCACAGAGTTGAGAAAGCGCAACGATATGGCCGAATCCTTTACCAAGAGATTCGTGTAGAGATGCGCGCACTTGGTTATGATGGCCAGGCAGGCTTCCTTGGCACGCACATGCAGATCCTCGTAGCAGGAGCAAATGCGGCTCATGAGCTGCTGCAGCTGTTCCATCAGCTGCTGCTCCTCCTCGCCGCTGCTCGTGTAGGCCTGCTTGAACTGCAGCAATATGAATATGTAGAGCTCGGCGAGCATGATAAACGGACGCATATCGTCCAAGTAGTTGGCTCGATCGACCAGCACGGTCAGACACTTCTGGGCCAGCAGCTTGAACTGTGCATCCGGTATGCTCAAGAACTTTGGCTGCTTCTTCAGCAATATAACAATCAGATCCTTGAACGATTGCAGGCAACAAATCCAGTCGGGTAGCTCCTCGCTGGAGCCGGGCAAAGCCGGCACCTTTGGCATATCGAAGACATAGTCAAGCCATTGCTGGAAGCAGTCGCGCTCAAAGAACTTCTGCATGACTTCGCGCAGTTCGGCCTTCTCGCTGTTGCCCGTGCTGTAGATCTCAATGGAGACAATATTTATTAGCTGCGTGTAGACGCGCACCTGGGGCTGGGCGCTTGGTTTGGCGAAGAGCGGACTGCAGAGCTTTTTCCAGAAGTTCGGCTGCTTGAGCAGCTCGTCGACCAGCATCTGGAGATTGTGCTTCCACAGCGAGTGAAAGATGTTCATGATCTTGCCGGGCAGCGTCTGCTGTATGGTCAGAGGCTCGGCCTCGAGCGCATCGAGAAACTCCTTCATGTAGGTGACGATGCTGTCGCCAATGCTGGGCGCGCACTCCTTACCAAAGAAGGAGCGTTTGTCATGCGCATAGTTGACCTTGAAGAAGGCCTCCGTAACGCCCGGCTGCTTGGCTATGCAGGCATCCACCAGCTCCAGTATGGCTATCTTAATCGAATCGCTCTCCAGCTCATCAGGCAGCTTTTGCATGAAGGTCAGCCGTATCTGATCCGCCTCCATGTCCAGGCAGGCCAGCAACGACATGTTAAACTCCAGCGCAATACGCTTCAGCAGCCGGCACGACACAATCGGCAGCCAGCGATCGAATATGTTGCTCATATAGCTGCACACGGTGGGTATAATGCGCAATGTGTCCCGCTGCTTGGGCTGCGTATAGATGAGCGCCTCCAGCGGCGAGAGCGTGTCCGGCGCATAGACGTGGCTCTTCAGGCACAGCACCTGCATGAGTATGCGCATGGACAGACGCACAAGCATCATGAGTCCGTGTGGCTGCTGCTGCATCCAGTTCGTCTCCAGCTCCATTGTGTACTGCACAAAGGCATTGCCCACGCCCACAAATCTAGAGGAAGCATGAGTTAAAAGCGAGCATTGCAGAGATTGCTGTATATAGATGTATACCTCAATAAGATCAGGCCATTGTCCAGATTCAAGAGCGAGTAGACGCACACATTGAGCAGCAGCTGGCGCTGCTCGCACTTGGGCTCGCTGCTACTGCTGCTGCTGCTGCCGACAATATCGAAGAGATCGCAGATGAAGCTGAGCACCTCGAAGTAGATCTTGTTCTTCTCCAGCTGCGACTTGAAGTGCCAGGTGTGCAGATGCGGAAAGATGTCGCGCAGCAGAAAGACCAGACCAGGTATCTCAACCTGCAGATAGCGCTGGCGCTTCAGCTTCGTATAGGTGCGCAGGAAGCTTAGATAGGCCAGCAGGAAGTCGTAGCGTTCGTGCTTCTTCTCCACGTTGTCTATGACAGAGCCGAGGAAGCGCGACTCGAAGTAAACAGCGCTGGCGCAAAGCTTGTAATCGTGCGCCGACTGATTGCTGATGGTGGGCAGTATATCTAGATGGCTGACACGGCTGAAGATCTCCTCATCCACCAGCGGCAGCAGCGCCGTGCAAACGTTCAGGCAGATGGCCAGCAGACGTGTGGGCGGGCACTGTACGCTCTTAAATTTGCTCAGCAAATCGATGCACATCTCGGTTGGGTGCACCATTTCCGAGCTAATGCCCTCGATCGATTTGGTGCGTTGCACGGCCAGCTCCAGATACTTGAGACCCGCTTCCACGCGCAAGATGCGCTCATTGGAGTCAAAATCGCCATGTAGCTGTGCCTTATCCCGCAGCAGGCAGTTGATCTCGTGATGCAGCGCATTGAAGAAATTCACCTGGCACCGGAAATGCATATAGAAGCCATTGGCATGCTGCACTGCAGTGCAGCTAGTGCCGGCGGGCAGTGTGTAATCGATGCGCGGAAAGGGCTGCAATATGCTCGTCAGCTCATATTCATTCGTGTCCAGCTCCTTGACCTTGTGCGCCTGCTCGTCGTACAAGAGCGCCAGCATGGGCAGCGCCTCCAGCTGGCTTTTGATCTGCGAAAAGCGGATACAATCGAGTTAAATGAAAACAAGCAATCAGCAGCAGCAGGTGTTGGCTTACAAAGTTGCCTTGGCCCGCTTTGGTGAGTGCCTGGGCCAGCTTGGCCAAGTCGATGAACTGCAGCGGAAAGTTTTCTAGCAATGTGTTGTACAGCGAGCGTACGCCGTCTTCTGTAATGAATTGCTTGTGATTATTCAAATCTCTAAATACTGTGCGCGGTAACAAAGCTTCGCGCTGGCAGAAATCCTTGGCCAACTGCGGCCAGGAGAGCAGCTCGCAGAGCAGCTCATAGATGCCCTCGTAGCGAGCGCAGCTGCCGTCGCCATCGAACAGATCGCACATGTAGCACAGCTGATTGTAGATGGTCTTGCGCACAATGCGCGACAGGAGGCTATCGTCCGCGAACATCGCATGCGTCGCAATGGCATGCAACAGCTCAAAGCACTTGAGCTCGACGGCGCGTTTGCCCAGCTGGCGGCAACGCAGCAGACTGGAGGCGTCGTCGGCATCATTGGTGCCGCGCAGACGCAACAGCATCCAGACGAGCAGCAGCGGGCCGTGCTCCGGCCTATGATGCATGCCAGCTATGTCCGCGTGCAGCTCATCGGTGAGCTGTAAAATAAGCTGGGCGTTGTCGTCGGGCCGCTCAAAGTCCAGGCACTTCATAAGCAACATCAGCTCCGAGTAGGTGAGATTTTTGATCAGCTCTTTGTGGTACTGGTTGCTCTCGTTGAGGTAGTTTTGTATGCGTCCAAAGGAGTGCTGCTTTATGGTCGCGAACAGACGCTTGATCTGGGCCAGGCTCAGGCTTATGTGCTCGCTGAGCAAGATAAGTATGTGCAGCACCTCGTTGATCTCGCGCGCATTGCGCTCCGACCAGCTGGTCAGTCTGTCAGTGCAATGGAAGCCCTCGCCCGCGAGCAGTTTGCGCGGCGGCAGCTCATTGATAAGGCTGTCCAGCTGATCCAGATACGAGTCCAGAAGACGGGGCAGCGTTAGCTTCTCTACGACCAGCCTGTACTCGTTGTGGTAGGGATGATTGGGCACATTGTAAAAGACCAGCACGTTCTTCAGAATCTTCAGCACAATCATGCGCTCCAGCGAATAATAGTGCCTGATGTCCTCCAGCAGCTTGGCCATGTTCGTTTCGGTAGAGATGAGCTGTGTCAGCAGGCTGGCCGAGCCGCGATATTCCTTGGTCAGGTAGTAGCATAGGATCTCCCAGCACTGAGCCGACTCCAGATTGAGCAGCTCCTGCAAGCGTTCTGTGAAGGGCAGCAGCTTCTCCTGCTTCTTCTCCTTTAGCAGCACGGCCAGCTGCACATTGGAGGCGCTCTTCGGCTTGAACTGCAGCACGCCCGCTTGCAGCTCGGAGCACACATTCAGCAGCTCCTCGCGTACTGTGCTCCTGGGAGTCTCATAATGTATGCCGGAGACCATCTGCCACAGGCGCTTCCAGTCGTATCTGTCGAGAGAAACCATTTAGAACACGTTGAACGCAGGCTTTGCTACATTTTGCCACCCACATGACACACTTTTCGACGGCAGGCATTTCAGCTAACTTAACTTAACTACAATAATTATTAGATTTTTAACTTTTGACAAGAAATAACACAAGTTTTTTAACAAATAGCTCAGCACGCGCAATTTTGTTGCGTCTGGGGCTGCCAACCTGGCGAATTTTACCGGCAATCGTTAAGGCAGCTGGCAACGCTATGCGACATCGTCAGATGTTCGATTACAGCGTTGCCAGACATTTGCGTTGGATTTAAATTTTCAGCATGACTAGAAAATTGAAACTTATACTTTTCATTTTGAAGGCTATCGTCCAGGTACTTCTAAAGTGGGTGCTATTTTTAACTGAAATTTGTTGCACCTGAGTTTATATGCATATTCGACAGATTCCCCGACGATATCGATATTCAAACGATTCAAGATAGATTCAACGACGCCCCAAAAAAGCCTGTGAAATAACATTTTTAACTTTAGAACATGAACATTCTTATATAAGTTATAAAAACAATGTTTTTTTTTTTTTAATAAGAATATGCATGAAAGGATATTAGCACATTTGAGGAATGAAACACTTGGCTATTTTCACTTGGCAGCTGTTTTCGTAGATCCAAGTCGTCTGACAAAATGAAAAATACAATCTTAAAATTTAAAGTTTAAAAAAAAATTCGTTTTTTTGTGTTGTCAACTTGATAAATAGCCCTACATATGTCAAAAGAGTGGAAGTTGCATAAAGTTCGAGTTGCATATTACATTATGAGGACTATCTGTCAGTTACTGCTAAAGTAAGTTCTGTACAGTTAATGTAATTATCAGTTGCCGTGCGTAAATATTCAATGCAGATTACCTGAAGCCAACGACTTAAGGGAAATCAAAAGAAAACCACCTAAAAGACAATGAGCTTAGAACTGGAGCACGGGCAAATCAAAATGGAGCACAAAATATGACTAGCATTTAACTTACGGGATAGAATTTGCATTTCAAAAGGTATAATGATTGAAAATTTCTTGAATTCTAGCTCAAATGTGTAGTTCTAGACTTAACTTATTTTCATTAGATAAGAGCTTATTATGATTAGGCAATATTTATGAAATAGTGCGCAGCTGCTAAATACCCCCACCACACTAAAACACGCACGCACACACATGCACACGCACACGCACACACGCACACGCACACGCAAATAAGCTGCAATCACAGTTCGTTCTAGATACTTCAATACTATTGACTAGCCGCCTTGCTGTCACACAGACCTGAGTCCAGAGAGCAGCTGAGAGAGCTTTGTCTGTCTGTGTAGGCGAGCGAGAGAGAGAGCGAGAAAGAAAATGAGAGCGCGCACAGACATTTGCTCAGCAGCCTGGAAGCTGCAGCCCACAAAATGTCCCCGTTAGTAACAGAAAACTATTGAGAGCAGTCAGGTCTAGGCTGAATAGCTTGGGCCCAGAGTCGAGTAGGCTGTATGGGCGAATCATAAAACGAAATTTAATTAAAATATTAAAAACGGCAGCTAAAGCAATAATAATAACCAAAATATAATTAATAAAAAAAAATGGCACAAATCATGCTAAATGGTGCGAATGCGGCGAATATGGCGAATAATAATGGCAGCGTTGAGGAGAATGAACGTAAGTACCGTTAGACGATTGTCTGTGTGTGTGTGTGTGTGTGTGTAAAATGTTAGTCAGGCTGTTAATCTAATTCGAGCCTGTGAAAATGTGTATCCTGCGGCTGCGGCTGCGGCTGCGGCTGCAGCTATGATTATGCGTCAGCAGCAGCAGCCGCAGCCGCAGCGCTAGCATCCTTGCAGCTGCGGGCGTTAACTAGTATGTAGGCTGGTGGTGGGTGGTACAAGAGCAAGGGAGAGAGAGCAAAGCAAGAGAGCGAGAGTGCAGCGAGTATGTTAAATGTCGGAGGCTGAGAGAGCGCTTTCGTGCAGCATGCAACAAGTGTAACCTTGCTTTTTACTTGCCGCCTTTTTTTTTGTTTCTTTAGCTTATCCAATCAGCGACGATGAGCTGGACGACCTGGACGACGACTGCCTGCTGGAGGAGACGGAGCTGTCGGGCGGCGTGAACAGCATCGGACGCGGTCCGTACGAGCGCGCCTGGACGACGGAGGCGACACGCGCCCTCATACACATACGCGGCCCCATGGAGGGCAGCTTCACGGAGGGCAGACAGAAGCGTACGGCGCTCTGGCTGCACTGCACCCGCCAGCTGCAGCGCCTGGGCTTTCGTTATAGCGCCGCCAAGGTGCAGAAGAAGTGGCACAACATACTCATCACCTACAACAAGAATCTCAACAAGAAATATGTCTCCGGCTATGTACACTGGGAGTTCTTCGAGGAGATGTTCAAGTACTTGCAGGGCAAGAAGGCCGACTTTGATATGCAGCTGCAGCCGGCGGCGGCTTCGGTGCAGGCACAGCCACAGCCGCCACAGTCACAGCATCAGCAACAATCCCAGCTCCAGCTGCAACCGCAGCAGGAGCTGCTGCAGTACCAGAAGAAGCCAGCGACGCCCCAATTGCAGGACACACAACCCTACATAACGCCCGTGGATCAGGTGCTGCTGCAGCCGCAGGTGCAGCTGGACAGCAAGTCGAACGACGAGTTCGACGAGGACAGCAACAGCCTGTCCGAGGTGCGCCAGCCCAAGCTCGAGTACGATGCGGACCAGACAGGCAGCACCACCCAGGAGCGGGAGAATGACAGCAGCGAGATGGCGATGGCGCCCAGCGGCAAGTTGTACGAACAGCATGCGCCGCCGCCGGCGCCGACGTCGGATGATGGCTGGTGGAAGGATTATTTCGAGCGCAAGCTGGACGTGGAGCGCGAGAAGATGGAGCTGCAGCGCAGTCTGCAGCGCGAACAGGTCCAGATCCAGAAAATGTCCCTCGTCCAGCAGGAGCGCATCGAGCGCATGAAAATCGATGCCATCAACAGCCTGACCGCCACCTTGCAGAAACTCGTCGAGGCCAAGTGCCGGCGCGCCTAGCCCCGCATCGGTTGGTCCAACAGGCCTAGATTCAACTAAACTCAGTATTATTTAAGTTCCATGCATATCCGATGTATTCTGATCTGTAATCCGCGTCTCTCTGTGTAAATACAATTTGGACAACAACTTGACAAGCAGCCAACAAAACTTTTCAATTGGAAAAGCAACATTTTATTTGCCGGAGTTGCAGGTGCGATTCGGTTCGATGTGACGGATAGATTTGGTCTTCCATTCATTTTGTAAGTCAATTAGCTTAGCTATGACCTTCTATCGTTTTATTGGGAACTTAGTGGAAGGTGGCCTAGGTAAGAGGCTCTTAACGGAGAAAAAAACAAATTAAAATAGGGACACTAGAAACACAATCGCAATTGCAATGCTGTTGATAGAATTTAGTAAAGACGCATATGAATGTGTGTGTATGTACATGTATACAAGAATTCTTGCGCTATCCAATATATAAACCGATCTTAACCGATCCTGATGAAATTTGAAATGTTGTTTATTCCTTCCAAGTCGATTTCATTAATATTGTGGTCTAAATTGGTGGGAAATACAAACTGGTTTATATACTAGATATATAGCTATGTGGTGGGAGCGGGGAGGTGGCGATAGCTATAAAATGAAAGATACTTGATATACATATACTATTCGAGAAGCTACCTGTCCAGTTTGGTGACTCTAGCTATTATAACTTAGGAGATTAGCTCAAAAAACAGGATTTCGATATCGATTTTTATCGATTACCTGGAAACTGGGCAAGTTATCGATTATCGGAAACAAAATCGTACTGCGCAGGTACTAAGAGAACCTGAGATCCTTACATACGGACGGACAGACAGACGGACATGGCTAGATCGACTCAGCTATTGATGCTGATCAAGTAGAAAAGTCTTTCTTTTTTTAATATTTGATTTTTGTATTTCTGTACCATATTTTGAATATTTTTTGAGCCCCTACAACTGCCAGTTGACCTCGAAGACTGTGGCAATCGAGGTGTGACTTACGTTGGGCTGCTGCAGGCCGTAGCTGAGGCGCCACAGATCTGTGGCGTAGACCAAGCCCTCGCCGGCAGTCAGACGCAAGCTGAGATTGGGGCAGATGCCCTCGTCGCAAGGCTGCTTCGGACGCAGCCGCCACTCGAAGTGGCCGCTCAGCTGCTGCACAAAGATGAGGCCGCGCACATGGATCTCGGTCAGGGGCCGCTGCTGCTGATGGGCCATCAGCAGCCAGCTGGAGTAGTAGGGCTCCAGATGCAAGGGATAGTAGTAGGGTTTGCCAGCATAGAGACGTGAGGCTTTCACGGCGCTGGACTCACAGTTCCGGAACTGCAGATGCCAGGCGGCAGTTGCAGGAATCTTCTGCAGGGCAGCATCCAGATTAAACAACTGCCTCAGCATTAAATTGCTGGACACATCGCAGGGCTCGCTGGCGAGCAGCTCCGGCGCCCCGTCCAGCAGCTGCAGCAGCAGATCATCCAGCTCCAGCTGCTGCCGGCAATCGGTAACTATGACGGGCAGGCCACGTTCCAGATGCTGCGCCTCCAGCAGGGAATAGCTGACATTCGAGGCAATGGGTATGCGCTCTGCCGGTGGGATTGGGTATATAACTCTAGATAGTATAAGGAGCGCGCTCTGCTTACCCAGCTGCTCGCACAGCGCACAGTTCTCCCAGAGCGTCTCGTGCCTGCCCAGGATTTTTGGCTTCACTCGCTGCTCCGCTGCGCCGCGCTCGATCAGGCACTTGGCATTGTAGTAGGGCGTCCAGTTCCAATAGGGCAGCAGCTGTATGAGCAGCAGACGTCCCAAGGCGCTGGCAGTCCAGGCACACGTGTCACAGTAGCTCCACAGCAGATAAACCAGCAGTCCGGGCAGCAGGAGCCACTGCGTCCACCATCTCAGCTGCCCCAGGCGCACATGCCAGGCCAGCGGCTGGCATATGCTGCGCATTTCCGCCTCACTGAACCGCTGCTTCCGGCACTGCTCCACAAATTGCGTCAACTCCCGCTCAACGCTCGCCATGTGCACGTCCTAAAGGCCAGCCAGCGAATGAGCCCTGTTCCAGGTCTAACCAAAGTCCGAACTGCGTTACGCCTGCCTGACACATGCGCCCCATGAGCAATTTCCGTCGCGGCAAATCCAATTTTCTATTTCATTGGGCGCCCAGACGTGCAAGGCGCCGATAAGAACCACAAAGGATAATTCGAGAACAAAACCAAATTACATGCGAATTGCTTCAAATTGAATATAAAAATTAAGCGAGAAACGAGTTGACAATTTGTACGGAATAGCGTAAAATAGAAGAGCTTGAGTGAATCATGACAAATCGGACTTTAATTAAATGATCCACAGCCAGATTCAACGCGGACCCAGGGTTTTCTTTATGCATACTTGAGGAACCTGTGTTTTCTATCATCAGACCTGCGACTACCTTATGCGCTTTTCTCGCTGGGAGTCGCAAAATAAAACAGATTTTATGTAGAACTTAATAATATTGAGAGTGTGTAGTTAGGACAGAGAGATATGTGAGGGGCAAAACGGCGACACGATGGGGAATATTGATAGCCTGTCCGGCAAGCTATGCCCCTGCTCAAAGCTGGGAATGTTCAGTGAGTTCCCGAAGCTATCCTGAAAGCAGACAACACCGAGGATATGGAGCTGATCTTTAGTTTTAATATCCGACACGCAAATTGTTTACAGATTTGATCTGATTTATTCGGGTTATATAGAGGTTGGACTGAGGTATTTGACTTTGTTAATTTTTTTGGTAGTTTTTTATGTTTGTTTTTGTAAGATTAATTAATTTTCCTCAAGCCGCAGTTGCCTGACGGCGATGTGGAGGCTTGCAGCTCTTGAAGAACTCGCGAGTCTCGTTGCACTCCTGGGTATCGGTCCACACGGAGGCCGGGCAGTTCTTCATCATGTTCTTGAAGACGCAGCCCAGCAGGAAGGCTGGCTTGTGCGGGCACAGGGGCAGGCCGGGCGGTGGTGAGGGACGCGGACGATTGCCCATCTTATCCTGCCACTCGTCGACCTTGGCGGCACAGGTGGTAAACGCGTCGCTGGCCACAGTCTGCAAATCCTCGCTGTCCTTGAAGACAATGCTCAGATAGTCCTTCAGCTTGTCCGCATCCAGGCTGTTGTCCTCGTAGATGCCAGTTTCATTAAAGACACACGACACGAAACACTGACGGCAGAGAAAAAGATGTCGTATAGGGATTCAGTGTGGTATCAGTCTGCTTACGGGTGGCAGGAAATGATGATGGGGGTGCGGACGCCTGCCCTCGCCGCTCTGCTGCTCCGTGGACATGGGCGGCGGCGATGGTGGCGTTATATTATACTGCTGGCATTTCTCCTTCAGCTCGGCTGTGACAAACTCGGGCATGGGACAACATGTCATGGGATTCACAAACTTGGGCCGTTTGCTGCAGTCGACATCGGCACGGGCCACGCTCTGTTCCGTAATTAATATTAAATTACACTTATCTCCCAGCTCCATTTCCGCACACACTTCATACTCTACATACCAAACACAGCCCGACGACGACAAGCAATAATTGCTGATACTTCGATAACATTATTTTTCAGCCCGGTTCCAATGGGGGGCTACGACTGAGCTGGTTTCGAACTGATCTGACGTTTTATAGCTGCTGCTGTCGTTGGTTTTTCCATCGTAATTATGAATATTATATATCTATATTTTTTGGTGTGTGGCGTCCACAAATAAATGATCTTTTTTGCCAATCTTTAAATTAACTTTAACTATGCAATTATCTCGATTGCCTAATTAATTCAATTGACATTTTTTTTATTTATTTTTTTGCGGATAATCTGTTTACACTCATGTGGTAGGGTTTTTTTTTTTGACAAATGAGAACTCGATTCTAACATTTTAATAGTCGATCTCAGAGACTAGGAGCTAGAGACTCGAACATATATCAATACTATTTCAAATTATCGATAACTTTCAATAATCGTTTCCTTGAAATCGATAAATACCGATCGGTGCATGGTATCTCATAGTCCTAGACTAAGAGTTAGAGACTCGAACGTAGATCAAGACTTTTTCAAATTATCGATAACTTTCAATAATCGTTTCCTTGAATTCGATAAATATCGATATGTGCAGGGTATATCATAGTCCTAGACTAAGAGTTAGACACTCGAACGTAGATCAAGACTATTTCAAATTATCGATAACTTTCAATAATCGTTTTCTTAAAATCGATAAATATCGATCGGTCCAGGGTATCTCATAGTCCTAGACTAAGAGCTAGAGAATCGAACGCTGATCAAGACTATTTCAAATATACGATAACTTTTAACTAATAGTTTCCTTGGAATCGATAAATATCGATCGATGCAGGGTATCCCCTAGTCGTATAATTCGAGCGCTATTAAACGTTTTTGTCTGTTAAAGTACAATTATTAAAAACATTAAGAGCTAGAGACTCGAACGTAGATCAAGTTTATTTAAAATAATCGATAACTTGACCCGTTTTCCTGCAATCGATAAATATCGATAGGTGCAGGGTATCTCCAAGTCGCGTACTCCCCACTCGAGCGCTCTTAATTGTTTTTGTCTGGTAAAGCACCATTATCAAAAACAATTTAATTGTGCAAAATTAATACGATAATTCGATAGGTAAGCACAAACAGGGCTAGAGAGAGAGATTTATTATGAGGTATACAAGGATAAGGATTAATCATGATAAGCTCTGAATATCTATATCGTAAGCCCCATTCCAAAGTGTTGGAGCCTTAAAGCACTTTGAATTACACCACATAAATTAATAAAAAAAAAGAATAAAGCGATAATTGGCCTTGACTAATGGATAAACAAATTAAATTTGAATAATTTTTGCTAAATTACTGCACTAAAAAATTTCACAATTTTAATCACAGCTCTTCGCGATTGCACAAAACAAATTGCGGCGCGTGTTTGCTCTAGTTTAATTTATATAATAAAAAAAAGGAAAATCGACTAAATAACAGACTATAATGTGCCAATGTCAGTTGCTAATACAAATCTCTGCTTATTTGCATTTATTTCCAGGCTATTTGCCAACCACCTCGGCCACCGCAGACTTGACATCCGGATATTTGAACTGGTAGCCGGAGGCGATCGTTCGCTTGGGCTGTATTTTGGCGCCGCTCAAGAGGAGCGCGGCACGCTCCTTGCCGAAGATGGCATGAACAACAAACTCGGGCACTGGGAACAGACAGGGACGATTCAGCGCACTGGCGAATGCCTGCGGGAATAGAGGAGGATTAGAGTCTGGTTGTGCGCAGCATGTGGAACTGTTCCAACCTGCGAGAAGCCCTTGTTGCTGACTATCTCTGGAGCGACGCCGTTGAAGACGCCCGTCTCGCATTTCTCAATTAGATGCTGGATCAGGCTGCACAGGTCGTGCATGTGTATCCAGGGCATAATCTGCTGTCCGGCGCCCATTGGACCGCCCAGGCCAAGCTTGAATGGCAGCCATATGGATTTGATCATGCCGCCATCACGTCCCACAACTGCGCCAGTGCGCACTATGCTCTAAAGTGTCCGATAAAATCAGTTCTTGATATGTTACAGTATGGCAAACACCTACACACTTGCAGGCCTTGTCTCCGGTATCAGCGGAGCGTGCTGCCTCCTCCCAGGCCAGGCACAGGCGCGACATGTAGTCGTAGCTCTCGCCGTGATCTTCCTCGGTGTAGGTCTTGGTAGCCGAGGGTCGGTACAGGCTGACGCCACACAAATTCACAAAGGACTTGACCTGTGGCGCCGCTTCGATGGCATTACTCAGCGTCTTGGACGAGTTGACGCGCGAATTCCAAACGTTCTGCTGGAAGCCGGGCGTCCAGCGTCTTGTCGGATCCAGCACATTCTGACCGGTGGTATTCACCACGGAACTAACACTGCTGGGTATGCCCTGCTTCTCCAGCTCATGCCAGGTGATGCGTTTTGGTCCGGGCATCCGCGAAACGACGGTGATCTCATAGCCCTTCTTGGCCAGGTGCTTGGCCAGATGCCTGCCAATGAAACCGGTGCCGCCACCTGTTGGCCAAAGCCGCTGTTAAGTCTGGTTTAGAGCCAATGTCTGTTCGTATTTATTAAACGTACCTATTAAAGTATGCTTTGACATTTGCGCGAGATTCGGGTATTTTGGCAAAGCTTAAAAATGTTTTATAAGCGTTTTGTCTGCTTCTTTTTTTCGTAAATAGAAGCGCTGCCAACTTGTGGAAAAGCAACAAGTATTTACACAGTGGTAACACTATGTTTTGGAGCTGCCAGACTGATCCTTTCGACACTGCTACTCAATTTCAAATGTTGCGCGGTAAGGAGTTTACGCAGTGGTAACGCTTTATTTTGGCGTTGCCAGACTAGCTAACTTGGCTTTTCAACACTGACACGTAATTTCAAATGTTGCGCGGTAAAGAGTTTACACTGTTGAAAAAATTAACATTTAAATAATGTCAAGTTGCAGTAATAATAAACGAGGAAAACAAAATTTAAACCATAAAGTGGTCAACTTGTGTCGTAAAACTGTGAGTGAAATCCACTTGAATATCTGCATATCGGCTTGAAAGGTGGATCGACCATTGAGGCTTTTAGTGTCAACGCGAAGTGGCTTTTAAGGCGCGATAAGCCCGTAAAATAAGGGGCATGCATTAAACAGAAATTGCTGCGCGCGCTTATCTTATTGCGTTGCGCGTTTAAAGTTGGACAAGGCACAAGGGACATGCCACACACAGTCACACACACACACGGGCTGCAGTAAAAGTGCAAACTACGCTATAATACAGGCAACGCTTTCTTCTTCTTGCACACACATGCAACATGCACGCACAGTTAATGGCCACCGACAGAGCTCGCCTCGTTGGAGACCGGGCGGGCCGGAGCCAAAGCCAAGTTCAAGTGCAGCAGACATCATCCTTGCTGCTGTTGTGCGCGGCGTTTTGTTTTCGGACCAAGTCATTGGAAACTCATTTGCATACACATTGCCAGTATTAACTGACGCCTGGGGGGGAGATGGCAAAGAGGTCGCCAGGGGTTGACAGTTGTCTCGACGCGCAGCCAACTATGTGGGCGTATAGACATGGGCGTGCTCCGGTCATGTGCCGGCTTTTGTGCAGTCAAATTTTATGCCTTTGAAGCGTTAGAAGAATTTGCATTAATCGCAGCAATTATTGCGCTTCATTGAGTGAAAATGAAATAAAAAGTGCTAGCCAGCCATAATTATAGCGTCTGCGCCGTTTTATCTATTCCGGCAATCAGCCGGCGAGTACCACGTGCATATACAAAAACCGAATAATAACGAATAAATGAGCGGCAACTGGGGAAGCTGCAGCTCGAGTACATTTTTAAAATTAAGAAGTTTAAAGTCTTACCGAGCGTTTAAAGAGTTAACAGCGAAAGGAGGAGTGAATGTAAATAACCATAATTAGTTATAGTTATAGAGTTTTTATGTTTAAACAAAACAACAAATAATATAGAATTAACAATGATCCAATGCAACGGACTTTAAGGCCTTACCAACACTTTAAGAGTTGACAGCAATCGATAAGAATTGTGATTGATGGATCGGTAAGTATCGTTACGTATCACAATCGGTTGCTTTCGTTCAGTTTTAAAGCTTATTTGAACATTGACTTTGGATAAAGTGCTGAAAAATGCCAAAACGCATATGAAGTGTTAATAATTGACTTGCTTTTTTTGTCTGTATGAGTTTCTAAGTGAGCGACTTTAAAGCTTTACCAACACTTCAAACAGTTGACAGCAATCGATAAGAATTTTGATTGATGGGATCGGTAAGTATCGTTAAGTATCGTATTGGTTGCTTTCGTTCAGTTTAAACGTTTTTTTGAATATTGGCTTTGGTTAAAATGCAAAAATATGCCAAAAAGCATATGAAATGCAAATACATTGTTTGCTTTATTTATATATATGATTAGCTACTAAGTGAGCGACAGTTTGGAAGAAGACCCAACTAATTGTTAACAATTTGAGCGCAACATCATACTGGGCACACGCTCACCCTTAATGCGACAAGGGTTTTTCATAAAAGCGAAAAACTTTCTAGACAAAAGAAAATATGACTGCCGAATGCAAACACTGTCAAAGTTGCGAACAGCAACTGATAGCAGGATCTCTGTTTCTCTTCGCTTTTGAGTGGCAGCTAGAGAAAATTTAAAAAACTTTTTTAGACTTTGTGCATGTGTGTATGGGATGTTGTGTGCCGGACTGCTATTTGAGTTGCACTTCCGGTGGCGTTGCTATGCATGGCCAATACAAGTGGCAGCAGCAGCTCAGACTGCGGACTGTCTCGTAACTTATGCTCAAGTGTAAATATGTATGATGACAAACTTCTTTGTTTGCAGCCATCGGCAGAACTGACAGACAGACAGGCAGACAGACAGAACTGTCTGCAGCTCGATGCTCTCGCCTCGCATCACTCGTCGCCCCACAAAGTTGCAAAGTCAATGGCAAAAATATGCATATGCAGATGGACATATTCACGCCGTGTGTAGATCTGTCGTATCTGGCTTTTGGGCATCTACAGCCAGAAATTTATAAATGCAATTCCTACTCTATTGTTGACTTGATTTGTGCAACTTGCCGTTGACATGTGGGCGACGCCAGCTTCAACAGTTGCAGCCGCAAATATCTGCCAGAGCAGCAGCTACGCAAATAAAAGAATATGTGAGTTGTTTGCACACAACAGTGCGTGCAAGCAGTAGGTGTGCCGCAATAAAAAAAAAATAGCATACTTCAAGTTTGAGCATGCTTCAAATAAATTAGATTTTGCATAAATAAAAGATGCTTCAAACACAAGCATTCATACAAATAAATTGTGAAACAAATATTAAAGTGTCTAAATGAATTTTTTTATCTCTTCGCTCTTCGAGAATCTACCCAACTTTGATGGATTTAACACTTTTACCTTTCCCGTTTTTATTTATTTTGAGTTAAGATCTCAACAGAACATTTCCCTGACGTCCGTTTAGTCATGTTGATTTACTTATAGCATGCACTGTGCTTTGCATTCACATATATGTATTTAAACTTTAATGTGAGTAGACTTATTATATGCTTGAAAAATGAATATATTTTCTATGTGCATAATTATCCTACTGAAACTGAAATATTCCTAATCTGTTTATATTCTTCGGGAATCCTTCCACCAACTTGGACGTGCTTTACTATTATACCATTGAGCTAAGAACTCTGCGAGGGTCTTTTTCTTCTTGTTCGTTTACTTTTAGCACGCACTGTGCTTTGCATGTGCACACACAAAATTTGGACAGTTTTATGTGCGGCTGCTGTTGGTCTGCTTCTTGCGGTTACCGCTGTGAGGATTAGCCGCAAATGCAGTTGCAGTTGGAGCTCTCCAACTGTTGACAGGGGCAACGACTGACCACCCCCCTCCCCCCTCTGATCATTTCAGTTGAATTTTTGGACATTTCATGATTCATGTTGTCCGTGCATCTTGGTGTCATAATTACGTTGGGGGCCCAACAAGTTTTGCATGTCTGCGGCTTTTAATAAAGACGAACGCAGGCCAAATGCATGGCAAGTGAGAGTTGACTTTTGGTTTGGTTTTATTGAAAAAGCAGCGAAATAAAAAATTGTACGAAAAGCCGTTCATGTGTGGCAAATGTGTTCAAATTGGCGGAAAACTAATTTGCGGCCAACAATAAAGCACAAGCTCGGCCAGGCTAGGGTCAACTCAAAGATAATTGAATTTTCTTTTGAACACATATGCCACTTGGCACCTTCGTGTGGCACGGGCTGCCGCCCTGGTCAGCCTGGTTGCCACACGCGATGACGTCTGCAATTGTAGTTTGTGCTCTTTTTATTTTTTTTTGCGCGCGCTTTAAAGCAAAGTTCAAAAGCATCATAAACAATCTGCGAGGCGCAGACAATTTGTCTGCCATCAGCCAGAAAACTGGGTCAGACTCGATGGCGACGCGTTCGCCAAGATGCCGTCCACGTTTTGTCTGCGTCGTAGTTGCAAAGTCATTCAGCCCCCAACTTAAGTCAAATACTCGCACATACAGCTACAGATACACTCGAAGAAATTAACATTTAGTTTTGGAAAGGTTTAACTATGTTATTAGAGGCTAAGGTCCTGTATTCAGATACGTTTAAAAGCCTTCAAAATGGGTTGTTGGGGAGCTAGAACCCTAATCTTCGTGTTGAGCTTAAGATTGAACAAGGCATTCCAATGAATTATCCACAAACCCGTCTTAGTACTTACTTTCGACCCAATAGAAAGCTTCTGTTACAAACTCGGGTTCTAGTTCCATGTTCCTATTAGGGATTTCGATCCCTAAACTTCGTGTTAAGTTAAGCGACGCCTTTAGATTGAACGAGGCCTTCCAACAAATTAACCATAACCTCGTCTTGGTGCTCCTTTTTAAAATCTCGGGCTCTAGCTGCTTTATGCTGGCAAGGAGTTCGGTCCCTCAACTTCGACTTAAGTTTACTTTGATTGATTTCTAAGTGAACGAGACCTTTCAACGAATTATCCATAGCCGCATCTTTTATCATCACTTTCTATTAAAATCTCAGTTTGCAGCTCCAGCTTGTATTAATCAGTTTGATTTCGCTAAGTGTTGTCATTGATGACTGTGAAACTGTTCGCCAGCAGCTGCGCCAATTGCTGACGCAGCTGAGGTAAGGCAAAACAGCGATAAAGTGCCGGCATTTGGAAGCCCAGCAGGAAGAGGTAGTCGCCAAGTCGCCGAGTCGCATGTGGGTCAAAAGTCAAGCAATTTGTCACACACCAATTTCAAGAACTTTGCGCCAAACATAATAAAGCTGAATGTGCAGTCAATATGCTGCTCCGCTCCGCTCCTCCACCACAGTCGCATCCTGTGCACTAATGATCTCTGCTGCTAAGTTTAGAAGTCGAGCAAATTATGCTATATATATGGAGAGGGAGAGAGAGAATATGCTGGGCTCATCATTTGCGCAACTTCAAAGAACTTCATTTAGTTGCAAAGGGAGGCAATTCCAAATGGTTGCAGTCGACAGCTTTAAAGGATCTGCCGGCTGACAGCTCGATATTGAGATCAGTCAAAGATCAAAGACTCGAGCAACTGATTAAATTTCGGTTAACCATTTGAGGAACGCACAAATTGCAAATTAGAATACACTTTTCAGTAAGTGAAATGGAGCATATTTGTTGTGTAAAATGTTCACAAAAGGGGAATAGCTTCGGTCTTCAC